TTAAATATTTAGAACTATCAATAAGAGATTTATTCATGACAAAGTTTCTCGAATGCCATATTGATGAAACAATTTTTCCTACATTAGGGGGAGAATAATAAGTAGCAACAAAAGAAAATTTCTTAGAATGAATTATCATTATCTAGTTTTGATCATCGTATAAATCAACATGAACTTGAATTTCAAAAGATAATTTTTTTCTAAAATATAATAAATCAGTTGCTAGACATATTTACTAACCTAAATGTTATCTACTAGCTGCAAATGCTCCTATTAGCATTAATGTTCCTGTAAGACAAGGCACGCTAGAAGTGTGGAGACTAAACGGTTTCAAAGATAAAATCCTCGAAAAAGAAAAAGAGCAAAAATTTAAGATGATCAGAAAGAGGAAATAGAAACTCTAGAAAAGACCCTTGACATAATTGATGAACATTTTACAAGAAATTCAAATACCTGAAATCAGTGAAAATAAAGATATCTCAATAAATTATGTCATGATGGGAAAGATGAGACTGATAAATAAACGTCGATGATATTTTATATATAATATAGGGCTCAATATTATAAAAGAAAAATGAGAATCTTGAACTTTTATTTATTGAAGAATGTAGATAAAGAAATGATTGGCCAATGTAGAAAGACGCAATTAAGGAGAATTTGAATTTATTTGCAAAATATGAAGTTTTTGGACCTATAGTCCATATACAAAATAGTGTTAAACCAATAGAATATAAATAGGTATTTGTGCGAATATGAAATGTGAAAGATGAGATTGTGAGATATAAAGTGTGGCTTGTCGCATTAGAGTTTTCGCAAAAACCTGATATTAATTATAATGAGGCATATTCTCTATGGTGGATGCAATCACAATTCTATATTAACAAATCTGGTAACATATGATAAGATTGAAATATGTACAATAAAAATAGCTACAGCCTATTTATATGGCTCATTTGATATCGATATTTATAAGAAAAACTCTGAAGGACTTAAATTGCCTGAAGCACAAAAATTTTGAATTCTCAAGAAATTTACTCAATTAAATAAAATAAATCTTTATATGGATTAAAGTAATCTAGACACATGTGGTATAATCACCTTAATACATATTTGTTGAAAGAAGGTTATAGATATAATCCTATATGTCCATGTATTTTATAAAAAGGTTTAGATATGAATTTATTATAATTGTTGTTTATGTTGATGACTTAAACATTATTGGAACTCTTAAAGAGTTATCAAAAGTTGTAGATTACTTAAAGAAAGAATTTGAGATGAAAGACCTTGAAAAAAATAAATTTTTGTTTAGGTCTTTAGATTAAATACTTGACAAATAAAATTTTTGTCCATCAATCCAATTATATAGCAAAATGCTAAAACAATTTTATATGGATAAAGCATATCCATTGAATTCACCAATGATTGTAAGGTCACGAGATATGAAAAAAGACCGTGTCCGACCTGGTGAAGATAATAAAAATTTTTTTTATCTTGAAGTACCTTATTTTATTGAAATTGGAGCACTAATGTAACTTGTTAGCAATACATCACTTGATATATCATTTTTTTGTGAATTTATTAGTAAGATATAGCTCATCTTCAACTCGAAAACATTGAAAAAGAATTAAACATATACTTCGATATCTCCGAGGAATAATGGATATAGGCTTATATTATTCAAATACATCAAAATAAAATTTAATTGGCTATAGAGATGCAGGATATTTATTTGATCCACACAAAGCTCGATTCCAGACAGATTATTTGTTTACATATGGAGGTATGACTATTTCATGGTATTTTATAAAGAAAACTATAGCTGCTACTTCTTCTAACCATGTAAAAATTTTAGTAACTTATGAGCAAGTCGTGAATGTGTCTAGTTAAGATCCGTAACTCAACATATTTGAGAAACGTATCGCTTGTCAACCAAGAAAGAAATTCTAATAACGTTATATGAAAATAATACTGCTTTTATAGCACAGTTAAATGAAGGATATATTAAAGGCAATAGGACAACACATAATTTGCTAAAAATTCTTCTTCACTAATGATCTTTAAGAAAGGGCTGAAATGAGTATTCAACAAATTCAGTTAAGTGACAATCTAGCAGATTTGTTCACTAAAACCCTTTTTACTACAATATTTGAAATGTTGGTATAAAAGATTGGAATGCATCATTTTAAAGATCTCTATAGTGCAGTTATCAGAGGAGTAAAATACGCACTATACTCTTTTCCTTCATCAAGGTTTTTCTCACTGGGTTTTTCTTGATAAGGTTTTTAATGAGGCAGTATTTCAAAAGCGTATTTTTGAAAAGATTATGTGCTCTGTTTCCTTCACTTAGATATTTTTTTACCATGAGGTTTTTTTCTAGTAAGATTTTAATGAGGTATGTTCTTAATACAATAAATATTCAAGGGAGATTGTTATGAATATTTTTGTGAATATCTGTTTACATTATCTATATTTAGATTTGATGTAAATTAGATTATATTAGAATTTAATCCATCTAATCTTTAAGTGTTATCTTCATTTTGTAAATTCAACCTAGATAAGAGGTTATTAGCCTATAAATAGGGCCCTTCACTTCATTTGTAAATAACTATTGTAATAAGATCTTCTTACTCTCTCTAAATATTTTATTTCCCTTTAAATACTTTTTCTTATAATTATTCTTTTCAGATTTATTTCATAACAAGTAATATTTTTTGATAAATAAAAATCCAAGCCACATATGAATTACTCAAACTCTCAATTTAAGATAGATATTAAAAATTTTCTTTTCATGTCAATTCTTTTATCCAAAAACCATTTTAAGTCGAGTCCAACGATTTCATTAATTGAATCAATTTATAGTTATTTTATTATTTTAATTTAATTTTTTTTAAAAAATTTAATTGTAATTGATTTGATGAAATTTAAGTTTTTTTTTTTTTACAAAATGATTATTAGTCTTTTTAATTCTCATATCATTTCGGAAAAATTAAGGTATTGATAACTATACAACTAACATCAAAACTTGTGCTGATTTTGTTGTATCGATTTTATTTTTCATTGGAGTAGCTGAATCTTAATTAAAAAAAAAACTCCAAACACTTGGATTGTAATATATAAATCTTAATGAAGAAGCGTAGTAGCTATATTCTGGTGTGTATATAAAAGAATATATATATATATAATTATATATAATATGTTAGAATTGATTGGTGGATCTAGGTAATGGTCGAACATTTGAATCAGCACTTTGCTTGGTTGGCCACTTACATAGTGAGAAAATTGAACAACACTGTTGTCAAACAGAAGGAGAGGGATATATATATATATATATATATTCGACAAAACTCTGCAAAGACAAAAATCACTGCACTTCCTTATAGTTAAGGATCATGTCGTGTAGGACTCAAATTGTTTTGATTGCATGGGAGAGGGGCTTGAGACATTCTATCATGTGCCTAAAACTAAAACACCACATGCTACTTTTATCTTAATTTTAAAATAATAAAATTCAACAACAGAAGCATATTCTTACATCACTAAAAAAGGATTGCTGCTCCAAAACGGAATGCATGCATCATGAGATGAATGAGTTGGATAAAGTGAAAGGTTTTGTGAATGAATTGAATGAATGATTAAATGAATGGAATAATTAAATAGAAGAAAAAAAAGTTCACGTTTCACACTGTTTTACGTTTTATTTTTTGGTCATTTTTTTTATATAATTTTAATTATCGTTCACATGTATGGATTTTATAACTTATTAGGGAATTTTACTCATTAAAAGTAAGGGGATAAAATTATAATGATGGAGCCGAAACTGTTCTCTTTTAGCATGTGTTAAACCCTCATTAATGCATTAATGTGACAGAAATTTAAAGTTTAAGATTTGATTCAGCTTGCTCCTCTAGCCCTTGATTTAGGGCTAAACAAACAAAAATGAGACATAATTCCATAGCCAAACAAATAAAATGAACAATGTGGGAAAGTGGAAAAATTCATTTTCTTTGTTTTAAAATTTTTATAATTAATTTCAGATATAATTGACTCCACCTTGCCAGATATATTTTGAAGTTTAGGTTTGGTTGAATAGAGACAGCTCAAGTATATAGAATGCACCTACAATTCAATTCAATAACATTTCCTTATTAAATGTTGAGGGAAAGAAGAAAGGAGATTTCAGCACATATTTCAGTTTATTCAATGTATTGTTTTCTTTTATTGTAATTCCCCAACCTCCCTTCTTTTTTTTTTTCTTTTAATCATCTACATGCATCTACTATAATAGTAACATTAAACACATACAACAAATCTCAATTATTCATGGAATTTTTTATTTTCAAATTCTTTCACTATTGATTATTGATGTGATAGGCATTAGGTAAGCATTTTTACAGATATTAGTGACAAGATTAAGTGGATAACATGAGTTGGCTTCTGATGCTTGCATGCCTGAAGAAAAAATCTTGCTAGATCTGTCAAAATGTTGAAAATTTGGGGGTGTTGAACAAGATTTGATTAAGTTTGGCCCAAAAAAGAGATGAGAGCAACATTTGTTAAATAAGAATCATATTTTGACAATCATAAAATTGAATGATAAATTCAAACCCATAGGGGCAAGAGTAGCATTTAATGTTTGTTCTTCTCGTTTTTCTCATGATGCACTGGATAATGTATTCAGTATAGTCCCTACAGCCTGATATAGTAGAATTTAATTATCCAATAAAAAAGAAAAAGAAAACAGTTTATTTCTATTGAGTCCCCACAAAGTGATATTGCAGATCCAGGTTTTAGGAATAAAAAATGAGGAGAATGTAACTCATGTTCCCAATGATGTAATCACTAACATCCTACAGGCTCAAGGTGCAAATTTTTTAAAGAGAGAGAACAAAACAAATATCAGTTAGCTACCAACTGAATCTCATATCTGACAAATCCTGTATCTAAGCAATTTGACAATAATGATGCCAATGTAACAGCTACCCAGATAAGAAACAAAGATATAACAAGAGAACAATTGAAGTTTTCTTAAATGGTTATTTAATTATAAATTTATAATACATACTTTTTATGCTTCAATTTCTTTCAAGTTTTCATTCAGACCTAAGAAAATCTATACACAGATTCACACCATCTTTTCCAGGCAATCATAGTAACTCCAGGCCTAATCTTTGTAAGGTAGCTTGTAACTTGTTCATTCTTCAAATGTGATGCTGATACGTTTTTCAGTAATGCCAAAAACAATCAAGGTCCACAGAAGGGGCTTCTCGATCATCAAATGGCCTCTTTCCCATCTCAAGATTCGAGACGACAGAAGAGATTTCAGCGTTAATATCAGTGGTTAAGCCTGTTTCTTGTGAAACACTAACCATCTCCCTCTCTGTTTTGAAACCCTGCCTCATGTTTGATCCATGGTTTTTGATTAAGGCTTTAAGGATTGATTGGTCTTGCATTAAAACAGAGCCAGGGAATTGAAAATTTGATGGGAAAGGGACAGCTTGAGTAGAGTAGAAAGCGTTAGAAAGTGGGATTCGTGGGAAAATGTCGGTAGGATTAGACGAGACAGGAAGAAGAGGATTGTTGAAATTATCAGTTGTGTCTTGTTGGTTTCCTTGAACATCAATAGGATTGGAGAAGCAGGGCACGTAAGCCGATTCGACAACAGGTTTGCTCTTGCCATTGTATGGTGAAGATTCCATTAATGGTGGTAGACCAGAAGGACCCAACTCATTACCAAAAGAACCCACCCTAACCAGACCTGAAATATGAGTTTTCTTCCCACCAGAACTCTTTTGGAATACCCTGCAAATCACCCATTCATTCTACAAAACAAAAAAAAAAGAAAAACAAAAAGAAACATTAACACACATGGGTTATACAAATGAAACAGAGCAAAAGACAGAATGAAAAGCAGAGGAAAACAGAGACAAGTGTATGTTACCTTGGCAGTTTTGGGGAGGTTGTGGACCGAGTATTTGCCTTCCAGTCTGTATTCATGCATGACCCAGTTGGTCTTCTCTCCTTTAGGAGCTCTACCCTTGTAGAACACAAGAGTTTTCTTCATTCCAACCAATGATTTTCCTCTGTAAATCTCCTTGTCTTTTCCTGTAGCTTTCCAGTAGCCAGATTCAGTAGCCCTGTTTGTCCTCAGACCAGTAGGGTATTTTCTGTCTCTCACACAGAAAAAATACCATTCTTTCTCTCCCATTTTCGCTTTCCCTATACCCAATAAACCAAACAAACATGAGAAAGTTTAAACAGAATCCTGAAACAATCTCATCTAGTAAGAATTAAAAAAGAGAAAAGTGAACGAAAATTCTGATTATGGGAGCAGGAACTTACATGGCAATTCCCAGGGCTCAGACTTGTTCAAATCCACCTCTCCAATAGCTCTAGCGCTGAAGTTGATGTCAAGAACCTTCTTGTACAAGTAGTGAGAAATAAGCTCTTCATCAGTTGGGTGAAAGCGGAAACCTGGGGGCAAATCCATCTGATCATCCTCCTGACCAATTACAGTAATGTTTGCCATTCCTGGAATAAGCTAAAACCCTATTGCCCCTCTCACTTAAAACCTTCTGTTTCACGTTCAGAATAATGGTTTCTATCAACAACCTACAAAAGAACCCCCCAAAATTCAGCTTGAAATCCTCACAAAACACACCCTTATAACCTCTCTCTATATATAAACGGACCTAACAGCTAAAGTTCATATTGTCCAACGCACTAACAGAGAAACCAAAAAATATAAAAGAACTCAAAAAGATTCAAATGGAAAGTGGTGCAGCAAAGGGATAAGAAGAAAGCTTATATAAAGCTAAGGGAAGTTAGGAAAAAAAATAAAGTAAAGGGTTGAGAGAAAAAGGGTGAAGCCATGGAACTAAAAAGCATTAAACCTGAAAGATGATGGAGAGGTGCTAAGAGAAAAAAGCAGCATGAGAAACAAAAGCCCCCTAAATACTGGTGTGTGAAGAGATAGAAACGTGGTATGTAAGGCAACTTGGTAGGTTGTTTTAGCCTCCCTCCCCCATCCTCCCTCTAAATAAACTTTTTCTATATGTAAATAGTAATTATGATATTTCTATTCGGCCCCCTTGAATTTTTACCAGGGACAGCTAATCTCAAACATCATGCATGTAAGCTGCATCATAAGTTAAATACCTTATTAATTGTACAGTTGCTTCTAATGTTTTTTGGTATGTGGGGATTCAAATTTTGGTTCGGATAATTGTTTAATTTTGTTCATGTTTATGTTTTTTTTTTAATTGAAAAAAGGAGATTTAAATCTTATTCTTTAAGTAGAAGATCATATATTAATTAATAAGTTAAATATTAGAGTGCTTATTCATATTTATATTAATTATTATATAATTTATCAAATACTTTGTGATCTTTTTGGATCATGAGAAACCGTTTCCAATGAAAGCTGTGCAAGTTACATTTACCATACCTCCATAGAGAGTCTAAATAAAGACATACAAATTGTTGCAAGTCAATTCTTTTATGATCAGACTACAGCCTATGCTGATGATTTTATAATTAGTTCTTTTAGATTAACAATTGTTATAGAATTTTCAAGAAGATTTGGGTCCAATAAGGTTAGGGTGTTGATTTTATTGGTTGTTTCATCTGCACACCAGAAATAGGCAACATGTATTATTATAACAGATTCAAACAGTGAGAAAAGCGTAGAATATTAATCTAATTTTTCAATGTGAAAAGGGAGCTTTCCCAAATCAAATCGTTTTTATTCTAATTAGTGATTACAGCTATGTGAATGCATGGGCGATAGCAGAAATTGAAATTTCAGCCTTCGAAAATTAGATAGAGTTGTTCATTCAACTCAAAATGACCTAGTTGACCCCAATTTGTTTATACATGAACAAAAAGAAAAAAAAAAAAAGAAGAAAGAAAAAATGGCTCGAAACCGACATTGCATAGATTTTTCATGCTATTGGCATAAAAAACTGACACTTTGCAACAAGGAACCAAAATCAGGTAAGAATGTGGCCCATGTCTAGGTTGAACCATAACATCAGAAACAGACAAATTATGGAAAAATCACCTGGGACCTCTCGCTAAAGCTTCTATAACATGTTGGCCAAAAAGTTGAGCACTGTTCCATAACAGTTCTATTTAAATGTTTCGGCCTGAGAGTAAGCCACCAGGGCATAATTAATCTCTCCCTCTACTTACTTCATTTAGCCCCTATACATCTTGTTTTGAGGGACCTCACCATGATTTAAAATTTAGCCATTCTTGCTAATCTGATGTCAAGGGAATAAAGTTCTTACCGATTGAAAGCTATATATTTAAGTTGTTAGGTGAGAGAGAGTCCAAAGCATTGGACAATTTCGGAGAATGAGCTTCCCAAGCTAATTTGTCTGATCATGATAGATGTATAGTGAGGATTTGAAAGGTCAATATATATCCGATAATTTGCTTTATTTTTTTTTCATTAAGTTTTGGTGAGTGTAAGTTTGTACTTCGAAAAGGTTCTCTTACGGTGAAAGAACGAATAAATAAGACTAATGAAATAATGAAAAGCTGAAGTAGGAATCAAAAAAAAAAAAAAGTCTTTATGGATACTGATCGTAAAGTTTGATTTTGGCTATTAACATATTATTGATATTATTACATATTTTTAAATAAAATTATTTTATAAAATCATATGGTTGTTCAAACAGTAATGCATGATGATAGTAGTGAAAGCAATCATGGTAATAAATATGTAAAATAATATGGTAACAGTGAAGTAATTCGAGACGTATAGTAGGAATTAATTTCACTTTTAATATATTTTGATGAGTTAGATTTGATGTTTTAAATATAGAAGTAAATAAGAGAGCCTCCTCTTAATCTTTTTTGGAATTCGAGTTTTTCTCCTTTTTCTCTTTTTTTAAAAAAACATGTGACAAGATTCTAAGTGTTACTGAACTTCACTACACCATTCAATTTAAATATCTGCCCTCTATCCCAATATATGTTCTAAGCTAACATGTCAACTATCTATAAGCGGCCGGTTTTACTTAATATATATATATATATATATGAAAGAACTTTGACAATTCATCAATGATAAACTAGAAATCAATAGATCACTCCCTCTCTAAAATACTTTCTCCCAACCTCTCTCTATATTCTTTTCAAATACTCTCTATTTTACTCAGCTCTTTCCAACTTATTTTCTATCTTGCTTCACCGCTACACTTTATCTATTTTTTTAATCTGAATTTTTTCAATTATCATCTACCACAGCAGTTTCAAAAATTAGTCTAATCTGTCTCGTTACCACCTCCAACACATCTCACCTTACTTGATTGCGATATTATCTCTCTTCCTATCACAGAAGAACCCCTCTAAAGTCACTTAATTTATATATAAAAAGATTACCGCAAAGTCTTTAGTGTATCTTCTACACATAACCGTGTGCATTCGACAACCACACAATTAAGAACGTTTTCAGCTCTAGAAACTTTGAAGGTGCATAAATACCAAATGCTACCTTACTCTAAATTTTAATGCGATCCCACAAAAGATTTTGCCCACTAAAACATAAGAGGCAGTCAAACAAAAAATTTACAAATTAAATGTTAATTGATATAGCTTGAAAAGGTCCCATTAAAATGCTGGCATACACTAGACCAACTTTTTGTTGTGCATTTTCTTCTCTCTCCTTTTACTGGTAAATGGATTAGTTTATGCCTATAGAAAAAATTGGATAGGCTAAGAATTCAATCCTTTGACTAAAGAGAGCAGTAGCAACAGGCAGAAATAGTAGATCTTAATTTCCATCCCTATTACAAAAAAAAAAATATTAATACAAAACAGATGGGACACAAAATTCATCCAGGATTTGTGGAATCAAGAACCACCCAAATTTCAGGTTGTTTTCCAATTTCTAAGCCCAAAACAATCAACCCACAGATTAGCCAATACTTGAATCAGCCTAAGTTCCACTAGTTAGTGCAGCACAAACTGAAAGGCCAACTTGGCTCCACAAGAAAGAGAAGGAGAAAAACGGACAAAGAGCTAGACGATGATATAAGCTCCAGCTGAAAAATGAAGAAGATGATATAATCGTGCCAGTTAATGTGCACATCTTAAATTCAACCATTATGCAAGTAGTTAACTTTATTTAATGCAAGTGACAAGTTTTAAACCATATCTATATTTTATGGAATCATATCTGGTTTTTGATTTAGATATTTTTTATCTTTTATTTAGGAGAAATGATTTTTAATTAAAATAACTTCCAAAATGTAAAAAATAAGATTTTGGTAATACAATAGGAGGAAATGGAGGTTTAATAGAAAAAAAATGTTAGAGAGTGTCCAGCTACGACTACAAAATAAAATAACATTGTCAGTTTAATCGGTAGTCACCGTAGTTGGTAATAACATTCCATTGATGAAAGTTTGGTTTTTTTTTTTTTAGTGTATGTCATAATTTGGTAATTATTTACAAGAAATAAGTATATATATTTAGAGACTTACTATCTATTACCTCAATAATTTTTGTGAGTAATTACACTTTCAAACTGTTACATAAAAGTAACATTGCTCCTCTGATGATTATTTTATAAGAATATATAACATTCTATTTATGTGGCATAGTAGAGACAGCAACGTTTCAATTTCAAGAAGAAACCCAATAATTAGGCGACACGCGTCAAGTTTGGCCACTTTGAGGAATTTCAATCGTCTGGGTAACTGCACAAATAGTCAACGTCCCTATCTGCCAATTAGGCATCATAAAATATTTGGAAATAAGCTGTGAATGCCCCAGCCACTCAAACATGCTGCTGCCACTTGGCAGCTTGTTATTGCTTTTGCCAAACCAAACTTAAAATTATTAAACTAATAAAACCCCCAAGAGGTGACTATTAACCTCCGGCGAACCCGACGTGGCAGCAGGACCTTGCCCCTTCTGTTTGGGTATGTGGCCATGACTTGGATGACACGCGGCATAATGCGAATGGACAAGAAACCCAAAACTTAGGGGAAGGGATATTTTGGAGGTCGGCAAAGGTCAGCTGGTCTGAATAATGAAGGTTTGATTCAGATTTAGGTCTTCCAATGCTTGATTATCACTTCATTTCAAGTCAATTAATCAACTCTTTCATGACTTTCTTGCTTTGGGATAAGGTAACATATAAAGTACAATTTTGCTTGGAGAAGAGAAAAATGGAAATGACAATAACTAGAAAGCTAGTTTCAATAATTTGACGAATAATTGAAAACCCCAAGCTTAAAATTTGAGTATTAAACTCAATATTAAGTTTTTATATTTCTTACTCAAAAATTTAAGTTTGAATCTCTAATTTCATCAATTAAAAAGCTCTAAATTAATATAAATGTTTCGAGAAGACAAACTAATGAGGTTTGCTTGAATGTCTTTTGCTAGTAGCTGTAGACCCACATCCTATACTGCAAATGCTTTAAATTTTCAAAAGCAAATGTAAGTGGAAACCCAATTAGGCCCTTGACGCCTTGACAATAATTTTTCGAACCTTCACGAACATAAAACATGCAGTGAGTCACCGGGGACGTGTCTGGACTCTGGAGGCAATGTATTTGAAGGTTCAGAGAAATGAAATGAATAAAATTGTCTTCTTCTTCTCTTCCAAACACTCGTGCATTTTTAAAATGTATTTGATTTTCTTAATATGACCTGATAATGATATGGGCAAATCTTTATCTCCTTTCACCAAAATAAAATATAATTTAAGGTTGCAAGTTACGACAAACTGCTCATTTAAATAAGGGATATTTTCGGTCTATGCAAGCAGCTTAATATTTATTGGTCATAATGTCAACTCAAGAAATTAAGCCTTTATTCCATTAAATTCGTATAAAAGAAATTGACGGGAAAAGAGATGAGTTTTTTTAAATTGATTTCTAAACAATTCAATAAATTTAATTTAATTATAGATT